CTTAAAACAGGCTAAGGGACCAAGAAAAGAAAGTAAATCACTAAAGAAAAGGGAATCTAATTGGAGTTGAATGTGTCTTTTCCTAGAACTGGTGTGGTGCTGTAGGATAAGCACTGGACTGCTGAACACAAGGTTGGCAGTTCAGACCCACCAGCCACTCCTTGGAGTCCCTTTACAGCCCTGCTGGGAGTTGGAACTGACTTGATGGCATGAACAACGGCAATCCTAGAAACAGCATCACATTTTCCCGTAATCCCCACTGCCCCCAACCTGTTTAAATCACACAGCAAGTCCAAGGAGCACGAGAGCCAGGGACATCTACAGCAGTCAGTCCACTGGGGTGCGCCAGACACTATGTGGGCTCCATATATGGGATCCTCCAAACAGCCCTTGATTTTGCATAAACTAAACTGCAGGATAAGCACTGGACCGCAAGATCATCCAAACTGAGTCGGCACCATCTTGATGGAACTTAACAACAACAAAGGAAGGTAAGACTTACAGGGCAGGTGAGACCACACTTCAGTAATCATTTACAGCTCCTTCTCAGAGCAGGACATAGGAGTAACTTCTGTTCAGTACCAATTCTTCCAGTAATGGTCCTAATTGGCCACACTGATAAGCGTCCCAGAGTATACTGCTACCTGAGCAACATCCCAGCATCCCCGTCACCTGTCTAATGTGAACAGTGGCCACGCTGCGCGGCTTCCTTGGAATGGACTTTCTGTCCTCACCGGCCTATGCACAAGGGCTTTGGGTTTCTGGTTTTCAGCTGGAACTTGGCTTAGAGAAAATATGATTTCATTCATTTCTATTCTTTAATCTTCACTACAGTATCGTAGGTGCAGCGACATAGATAAAAAAGGACGGTAGCCATGGAGTGGCCTCCAGCTCATTGTGAGCACAGTGTTAGAACAGAGCCGTACTCTGTGGTGTTCTCCATGGCTGGTTTTTCTGAAGTAAATCTCAGCAGGCCGATCCTCCTACATTTTTGTGGGTGTACTCAAGGCTCCAGCCTTTCAGTTCACAGCAAATATGCTAACTATTTGTACTGCCCAAAGACTAGTATAAAAATAATATTAACTCAAAAAATAAAAAGCCTTAAGGAATCTAAAATATAAACAAAACGTATCTGTAACTAATAGACACCATCTAATAACGTTATAAGGAGCTCTGGTCGCATAGTGGTTATGAATCGGGCTGCTAACCTCAGGATCTGCAGTTTGAAACTACCAGCTGTTCTGTAGGAGAAAGATGAGGCTTTCTGCTCCCGTAAAGATTTACAGCCTTGGAAACCTTGAACAGGGTTCCTATGAGCCAGAACCGACTCCCTGGCACCCACCAACAACAACAATGTTATGCTTAGAAGTTCAGGACCATGAGGTAAACTCTTCCAAAGCTCCCTCCCCTACTCATTTCCACCAGTATCTGATCCATAAATATTGCTTCTTTCCTCCCTGCCCCTAGTTCTCTGCCTGTGACTACTTCTGCTTCCACAAGGGGCCTCCTTTCATTCAAATAACTGCCTAAAACAAGTGCAGGTCCTGCAAGAGTGACTAGGATAAGATCTCCAGGCTTCAGAGGAGGTCCTAGACAAACAAACAACTGATTGTAGGGCAGTGGAGTGACAACTATAAAATGTACACACAAAAGCACATCGGGAAAAACCATTACTTCTGTCCATGGAAGTCAGAGAACGCGTCCCAAACAGGTCCACTATGACCATGGCCTCAGAGGATGAGACAAGCTGATCAGTCTGCGTGCCAAGCTATCCATGAACAGGGATCAGGTTGTCCACATGGCTCAGAAATGAGAGCTGCTGGAATTCTCCTGGGAGGATGGGGAGACCCATCACTCCCCACTATCCTGTTGCCTTTACTTTCCCAACACACCTTATTCCCCAACGTACCTTCCCCGATAAAACCCAAATTCCAAACCCACTGCCATCAAGTTGACTCTGCTTCATAGTGACCCTGTGACAGAGAAGACTTGCTCCTGAGGTTTTCCAAGACTAGATGTTTTATAGGAGCAGAGATGTGTGTGTTTGAGAGCTACAGGAAGGGATGCGAGACAGAAGTGCAGTGTGGGGGGAGGCTGAAAGGCGGTCACAGAGAGGCCGGGGCAGATCAAAAGGATGTTGATGGTCATGTCACGAAATTGAAGTGGACTTCTGGCAAAATGGGAGGCACACTGCCAGAGACCCTCACAGCAAAGACACAAGAGACCAAATGAGACAGATACAGAGGATCATCCTGACCCCCCTGAGCTTCACAGGAAGGGGCAAAGATGTGGATTGAGTACAGACTAGGAGAAAAACTCAACAAAAGACAGAGAAAAAGAGCCCTAACAGCCAACTAAGCACAGGCTCTCGATTGCTTTCATTTTCGCCGACTCCACGTCTCCGCATCTCCTCTCGTGTCCCACGACCCCACGAGCTGGATTCCCACACCAATGTCTCTGCAGGACAAAGACAAGGCCGTCTGCTCTCTGCTGGGAATCAGGGTCCATTGGATTATAGTGGGTTTCATTTTGCTGTTAACATTTTACTGTGAATTTAGTGAGATTTGCAAAGCAGATCATCAGTTTTACAGTCAGCAAATCATACACTTTGCTTCATCTTAATGTTCTAATCCTCTGCATGTACCAGCGGTTATTCTACTTCCTTCCTGTGGTTCCTATTTCCATTCCACCCACCTTCCAGCCCTTCTCAACTTGGTTCTTAGGTCAATGGGGCCCTTCTGATCTTGAATGGCTGACCATTCCATGGTGAGTGCACCTCACTAGCACTGTTCTCCCTACTAGATATCTATCTACCACGTGGCCTCAAATCCAGCCACCAGGGTGAGTTCAGTTCCAGACCCAACGAGTAGGCAAGGGCCATAGTCTCAGTTTCCTCCAGTCGCTTTCTGATCAGTAAGCCTGTTTGTGTTTTGTTCTACATTTTCTCCCATTCTATCTTCTAATGTGGTCCTTTCAGAGCAGTTGGTAGTGGTAGCCGGGCAACATCTAGTTCCTCTAAACTCAGGGTCATGGAGACTGATGGTCACATGTTCTATTAGTCCATTGGATTGACTGATTCCAAGCATTTTCTGTTTTCATCACATTTATTCCCTCCACACCTTAGATGGCCTCTGTTGAGCTTTTAAGATCACAGTGCTACCCACTGAAGTAGGACATAGAACATTGTCATTGGGTGCTACATTCTTCCATTGGAGCATGAAGGTCCCTAACACTGGAATCCTGAGACCCCAGACCCAGCAACTCAGTCCCTCAAGGTGTTTGGTAATATCTAAGAAGTTTTCATAATTTTGCCCCCTCTGGTATGGCGCTGTGGGCTAATGCGTCAGACTGCAAAGTCATTTGAACTGCAAGGTCAGTGGTTCAAGCTCACCAGCTGCTCCTTGGAAACCCTATATAGGGTCACTATGGGTCAGAATTGACTCCATGGCACTTAACATCAACATCATGTTCCACCACATTCATAAATATGTTAGCAGCAGAAGTAAAACCATGTAAAAATATCCTCTATCCGGCCTGTATCTATTTACGGGTATGTTCCCACTGTCCCACCCGTACCAGCTCAGCCTGTACATCTGCCATGTAGCTACTGCCCAGAACATTTCTGTCGCAGGACTGTGCACACTTCTACAGTGTTGTTGCTGACCTCAATTCCCTTTAGCCCTTGGTGTGCCTTCCTGTGTTTTCACCTGATTTCATCATTCTTCTGCCAACCTCCTCCTTGTTAATTTCTCCTTCCCTGTTACCGGAGTCACCACATGTCTAAGTGGGTTTCAGTTTTGTCTTTTAGGGTTTGGCCAAAAGCAGAGCTATGACTTGACCTGAAAAGTGGGTACTCGTTGTATGCAGTAAAAAATTATTAAAATGTAAACTTTATGGATTTTACTGTATATAGAGTGCTGGCTTCATGCAATAAGCACTGAACTGCCAACCATGAGGTCCACAGTTTGAGCCTGCCAGCCACTCTGCCAAAGAAAAATGAAACTTTCTGATCCCAAGATTTTAAAGCCTATGCAGGGTTGAAACATGTTGGAACCAAGCCCACAGCACTGAACAATAACATCTATTTGCAATAAAAGGAGTCCTCGTTGCACAGTGACTAAGAGCTCAGCTGCTAATCAGTAGACAGGCAGTTCGAGCCCACCAGCTGCTTGAGAAAAAAATGTGGCAGTCTGCTTCCATAAAGATTTTCAACCTTGAAGACTCTACAGGACCCTAGAGACCAGAACTAGATGGTGCCTACCACTGCCCACTACTCTGAAAGGCATCACATTTGACAGTCCTAGGTACTGTGGGAGAAAAATGTGGACCAAAACTCAAAATCATAAAAAGATCAAATGTATTGTTTGGACAGGTGATGGTGGACCCTGAGAGTATGCGTCACCCGTAGTCACCCTTGTGGCCTGGACTGAAAGGCATCTCCATGACTCAATGGTGCCCAACACCAATGACCACACATCAGTCCTCAAAAGCAGAATGGAATTCAAAATGACCAGACTACTGACATCAACATTTGCAACGCACTTGTGATATGTTAACAGGATGAGAGCAGGTCAACGCTGTTAAAGATCCAACACAGACCAACGCATGGTAAGAAGGAAGCAAAAGGGCCAGGCCCTTGTGATTGCTTCTAAGCAATCTTTCAGTGAGGCCTCTCCAATCTCCTGTCTTCAGGGCTTCGGTAACACCCAGGAAGTGGCCTCCTGGACTTGGACAGCCCCTGGTGGCCTCCCATTCTGCTTCCTTCTGGCAGCATGTGGAGCCCTTACATATCCAGTAAGGAAGTCCAAGGCCTGTTCTGGCACCATGTGAATGATTTTGTTCCTGGGTATACAGAGTCATGCAAATTCCCATGTGAACATACACACCTGTAACCAACGGCCCAAGCTCTGTACTGAAGGTGTCAAGGATATAAAGCTGAGTGGACCTCAGCTTTCATTTACTCTTCACGTTTCTCTGTTGGTGCCCCCTACATGGAAAGAATGACCACAGAGAAGGTGGAGGAGAGGAGGGAGTTCGAATGCAGCCTCCCACGTCCATGTGAGTTTTCCACAGTGGATGGAATCCTTCTACAAAAGGAGTCGTGTGACATCTGGGACAGAATTTGGAACTTCCAAGCCAAGCCCGACGACCTGATCATTGCATCGTATCCCAAAGCAGGTACGTAAATGCAGATGTTGTTGTTGTTCTTGTGTGTCAAGTCACTTCTGATTCATAGTGACCCTGTATAAGGTTTTCAAGAGGCAACAGGTGGATTTGAACCACCAACCTTTTGATTAGCAGTCTAAGTGGAAGTCAGAATATTTGCCAGCTCCTTTTAGGACCATATGTAGAGTTTAAGAGCAGAGGGGAGGTGTTCTTGGCTATGAATGAACGTACTATAAACCAGCCAGCACTCACAGTCCCTAAGGACTGGGCACCACACTGACTCCTTGGATGCAGGGAATCTGGGGAAGCCACAAACTCTGTCTCCGACGGATGTTACTCAAAGGGAAGAAATTCGATGAAATTAGACAAGAAGCAAATGTAGAGTGTAAAGACGATGTGTACTTTTGACCACATCCTTAGAAGCTTTGCCACTTCGATGTTGGACTGAGTAGGAAAAGTGGCAGCCCGTAGCGTGAATGTCATAGTCAGAAATCTTTAAGCTGACAGGACATTCTCATCACACTAACCAGATGACTGGCACACTGGTGCTTTGTAAGCCACCTTAGCCACGGGAGTGATCTCTGGGCTTTCTCTCATCTAGCTGCCAGCTCTGCCAATCCAGGTTCTATTTGACTTCCCGGAGGGAAAAAAGGCAGAATTTCCCTGGACATTTTGTTTTGGGTTGGGTCGGGTTGGGTGGAGATTTGTTTACACAATAACCATATCTACCCAGGATCACCACACTTCACCAGTTTCCCTCTATGGAGAAGGATGTGGGGAAAATAATGTTTACAAATGGGAAATGATACCAAAAATAGATTGATTCTAGTGAGTAATTCTTCCATAGAGACTCAAGAAAACTAAGTCTATTCCCAGCTCAAACCCAGGAAATGAGCAAGAATATTTTTCCTGGGACTGTCCTGGCATGGTGCTGTAGGCGAATACGCCAGACTGCAAAGCCATTTGAACTGTAAAGTCGATGGTTCAAGCTCACCAACTGCTCCTTGGAAACCCTATACAGGGTCGCTAAGAGTCGGAACAGACTCAATGGCACTTAACAACAACAACACTTATTCTAAGTTAATCTTCCACCATTCAAAATCATTCCCCCAATTCCCAAACCAGCTTCTTTTCAGTCCATGTCACAGATTGGACTTCCCAGAAGACAGGCTCTGAGTGGGTCAGTGTGTAGGAGGCTCTGGGGACCGCTACCTGTGGAAGAGAAGGGATGGAAGTAGTAGTGAACGTAGGGAGTTCATTCCCAGTCAAAGCCGTATTAAACCGTACAGCTGTTCTGAAGAGTTGGTGTCATTCCAGTTGGGGTTTGGGATCATTATAACCTTGCTCACCAGCCATGAGAACTTTGCTCACCAGCTGTTGGATACAAGCGGCCCAGGAAGGGGGTCTGATCTAGAGCAAAGCCGCTGTCTCAAATAGCCGAGATCCCAAAGAGGAACCAACAGCCATGCACTGTCTGCCAGCAGTATCCCAGCATCCCAACCTTTCAGTTCGAGAAGAGAGTGTGACCCAGCCCTACACCTTTTGTCATCACTGTGTTTGTGTTCAGTGACTCAACAGTTTCCTAGCTGTCCAGAAGTACAGACTCTATGACTGGCTTCCTTCCTTCAGTCTTGTAGCTAAGTGATCACAAAAGCTATTCCGTTCTCAGGTTTGCTAGGTCCACTGTGATTTCCCTTCCCTGTGCCGTAACTGTAACACCTAACACCAAAATGATGACGAGGACGGTTTATTTATGGCCTGATGTCTTTGAGTGAGCTCGCTGATGTGAAAATGAGGTCAGCTGTTACAGCAAGAGGCTTCACGCCCAGATGAAAAAGGAGGGCAGAAACCAGCAGTAGTAAGTCCCACAAGTAATGAAGATATTTAAAACTGGTAGTCTTGAGGAACATTCTGAGGCATGAATTCTCTACGGAGAAGAGGAGAGGAACAAGAAGCTAGTTATAGAATATTCCAGTCAACGTCTGAGAAGTTGCTGGCCAGCGGGTGGCGTCCATGGAAGGGCGGGCATCAGGCTGTGCTGGGAACCAGGCAGCCCTAGGAGTCTGTACCAGTGTAACTCAGCCCCCAGGAGCTCGAGGACATGGTCAATGATGGACACCCATCACTGTGACAGAGCCCAGGCCAACAGACTAAGGTAAAAGGACAATCTGGGTTCTGAAGCAAGGAAGTCCAGCAGAAGCACTTCTGTGGCCTGGACAATCCAGCAGGAATAGGGTCAGAGGCAGTCAGAGAGGTCCAGGGTTCCATGAGAAGCTTACACATCCAGTAAAACAAAGTTAAGTCCGGAGGTGGAGTCTGCAGGTAGACGGCACCCAGAAGGGCAGGGTCCAATGGCTACCCAAAGCAGCGATACACAGACAGAACCCACACCAGGATACACAGGATTAGCACAGTAAATTGACTGGGAAACAACAGTCTACGTCAGGGGTAAGGGGTTTAGTTCAGAATAGGAACCAACCAGGAACCTGGCAGATGTGGTAAAACAGCAGAGTTTACAATGGGAAGCATGGAACCCCAGAAACCACAGTCAGGAGGAAGAGGAGTCAGGGTCATGGGAACTGGCATGAGGAAGAGAAGGTGAGTGGATTGAGAAAGATGTTCTCATATGTGTATCTTGGCCTTGAAGATGAATCAGCACCACAGTCAAGAAGCTAATACACGTTTTATAGCAAGGAGGGGAGTGACTGACTTTGCAGTCTAGGAGCAGAGGTCCCTGGGACCATCAAGTGAGAAGAGCGGAGAGTGGGACCCTATCCAGAGAAGCAGTGATGCCTGAAATGGAGGCAGAGATGATGACGTGGAGC